CCCTGTGGGAAGTTCAAGTTCCTCCCCCCTCCCTCCAGGTCCAGGAAAGTGAGTAACCAAACAGACTGGATCCCAAAAATCCAGTATATGCAGAGGAAACTAGTCCCAGTGTCATTGTCAATGGCTTCTCAGAAAGACTCCGGGCCAGCCACATTCAGAGAATCCGGCCACATTCAGAGAATCTGGTTGGATCACGTGCTCGTTCAGTCGCAGTCCAACTGCCCTTGGTAAACTCTCATTAGATCCAACCCCTTGTATCAGTGGGTGATAGCATCCCTCACAGTCCTTCGTCATTTTCTTTGTCCTTCTGCTCCTCATTTGGACCTTGGGGGGCTCAGTCCGGTGCTCCAATGTGGGTCTCCGTCTGTATCGCCATCCATCGCCAGATGAAGGATCTATGGTGATAAGCAAAATATTCATCAGTATGGTTATGGGCCAAGGCCGGTTCAGGCACCCTCTCCTCTGTCCAGAGAACAATCTGGGGATCTCTCCTTGGACGTGGGATCCCATATATAATCAAGTTTCCTGTAAACCCTAAAATGACTCCCTTAGTTGAAATATATTCTTCCCTGATCCCATATTCATCCTTCCTCCCTTCCCCCCATCCCGGTCAACCGAGCTTTCTCCATTCCTCCCCTACTCCCTTCTCTCTAACCCTCTCCCCTTCCAACAACCCTCCCACCCTCCCCCATGCACCCAAGGTTACCTGGAACTCTTGACTATTTCCTACCTCCTGGCGGATAGCTAAATAATCTTCATCAGGTTCGTCTTCTTATTTAGCTTCTCTAGGATCACGAATAATAGGCTCAAAGACCTTTAATTATGGTTAGAATCCACTTATGAGTGAATACATACCGTGTTCCTCTTTTTGGGTCTGGCTTACCTCACTCAGTAAAGCGTTTTCTATGTCCATCCATTTGCATGCAAAATTCAAGATGTCATTATTTTTTACCGCTGAGTAAAACTCTAATGTGTATATGTTCCACACCTTTTTTAACCATTCTTCTATTGAGGGGCACCTAGGCTGTTTCCAGGTTCTGGCTATTACAAATAGTGCTGCTATGAACATAGTTGAACAAA